CCCCAAAACCCCAAAACCCCAAAACCCCAAAACCCCAAAGCATTAAATTATAGTTGACAAGTATTAAAATAATATTATTTGAATAACTCTAAACCTAAATGAAATCTAATCATAGCCGAAACATTAGTAACGACTCGAGTGGAGAGAAGCAGAGATATAACGAACAGTCCCAGAACAGTTTTGGTAAGTCCTCCCAGTTCGCTTCAAAAGTCTCTTCTAAGACTGCCCTAATTCTGTAAAATAGAGGGATCTAACAGTAAGCCTCAGCAGATGCAAGTGAACGTCTTTGGGGAGAACAAAAATGATGAGCAGAGCAGCCTAGATGATGCCATGTACAAGAAGATCTACAACAAACTTCTTGCAGAGAAGAATAAGCGGAATCCATCAGTTAAGAAGAACTGGGGAGCTGATGAAATTAAGCTACTGGAGTATGCTGTGAATACTTACTTAAAGAAAAAGAAGCATTCTGCTGATAAACTAACAACTCATGATTGGAAGGAGATCGCTAACTTCATTCCAGGGAGGACTGAGAGTCAGTGTCTTTATAAATGGAACCTTACCCAGCATAAAGTAAGTTTCAGGAAGTCCACTTGGCATGGCAATGAAGATAAAATATTAAAAGAATTAGTTAAGAGGCATGGCAAAAAGCATTGGCAAAAAATCGCAAATGAGCTTAATGAAAGAATGGGCCCAGATAGTAAAAGAGCTGGGAAGCAATGCAGAGAGCGCTGGCTAAATCATCTTGATGACAGAATTATCAAAGGGCCATGGTCATTCAGTGAAGACCTTATCCTATTGACTAAGCAAAAGATCATAGGGAACAAATGGTCTGATATTGTTCAATACCTGCCTGGAAGAACAGAAAATATGGTGAAGAATAGGTTCAACACAATCGCTAAACAGAAGAGAGAAGAGAAAAGAAATAATAGCCGTAAGAAACTTGATGACATTATTGGAGGCCTTGAAGAAGAAAAGCAAGTTGAAGAGAAAGATTCTTGGATAGATGAGAAAATTAAAGAGCTCCAAGAAGCCATTGAAAGAAAGGAAGATGATCCTGCTGATAATACTAATCTTTCTAAAATCTCTGAAGAGACAAAAGAAAAGAAATCTAAAATGAATAAAAGGAAAGCTAAGAATCTTCAAAATCCTTCTCAAAATGGAGTAGCAGCAACAGAAAAGCCTGGATCTCAATACTCAAATGTTGTATTTGACAAATATGATAAAAATAACGAACAAAGAAGAATTATAGAGTCAACACCTCAGCAATATTATCTAAGTAAAAGGCAGGACTCTGAGTTCTCCTTAAGAGGTTGTCAGTCTCCTATTGATGGATTTCCACAAAGAAGGTTGCCTCAGAGTTCAAATATTGGCAGTATGTTTGAGACTCCAAAGAATGCCTCTCCAAATCTTCGTAAGCTAAACGACATCTGCGCAACTATGAACCAAGAAGAGAGGTACATTAACATATCTCCTTTGAACCCTCCAAGAATTATTGAGCAAAGATCTCCAATTCCTCGAGACACTCCAAAAACACAGCAATTTCAAAGAAGTATAACCGACTTGCTCAGTCTCCCAACAGACAGTAGTGGAGAACTTCAAAGACTTCACAAGCTTAAAAGTATTTTAGAGGAGTTCACTAAATGCAGTGAAGTACAGAAAGAAAAGTTTTTATTTGCTATTGATGGGCTTATTAGTCAGAAAAGCCTTGCTCAAATGGAAAAGAAGGTACCTATTTTCTTAACATCCTATTAAAAGATTTAGACAATAAAAAGTGACAGTGGATCCAAGACCTCAGTCATGAACTTGAATAATAGTTTCAAATCAATGGAGAACTTGAAAGAAAAGCCTTTAAAGCCTACCGCTTCAAATAAGTCTACTAAAAATATTAAGAATTCTCTGTTCACTATGATTAAGGAAGAGAAGGATAAGAAAGATGAAAAACCTATAGAGAAAGAAATTAAGCCTGAACCTAAAAAGGAAGCACAAGATTTTCAAAAGCCTCAAGTGAATACTATCTCAGAGGCAAAGCAGCAAGACAATAATTTATTCCAGAAGCCAGTACAGACTCCTACAGGAGGGATGGGATACAACCTAACACCTGGTTATGAGAATAACATCAGAAGTACCTACGACTCAATGGTCCCTTCTATGTATGCTTCTGGTATGTTCGAGCAAGGGACTCCTTCCAGAGCGATGAACGATTTTTCCTCCACAAATTTCCCTCAAATGATCCCAAGATCGCCTTATCTCCAATCTCCTTCCCCTGCATTCAGAAATTTCAGTGGTAGAATTGGTATGGAGACTCCTCAGGCTGGAATGCGTAATGTTTGGGAAAAAGGTCAATTCAATCTCAGTGAAATGGTAATCTCCTTCTAACCCTCTAGAACTCACCATTACTAAACTATGCAGGTAAAAGGGAGCCAAATACACCATATCAGGGCCCAGAGAGCCATATGTTCAAGAAGAACTAGTCTGTATACCCTCTAAAGTTCCTTTCTCAAGGATCCCTTTCAGTCGTATTTTAAAGTTCAATTGTACGCTCAAGTTATGGGGTTTTGGGGTTTTGGGGTTTTGGGGTTTTGGGG